TAGCTCAAAGCCTAGAGCCTGTTTCAGATTCTGTGTCTCCTTCTCTCTCTGACCCTCCCCTGCTCACGCTGTCTCTCTCTCTCTCAGAAATAAATTAAAAAAACATTAAAAAATTTAAAAAAAAAAAAAAAAAGAAAATATGGGGGCACCTGGGTGGCTTAGTCGGTTAAGCGTCCGACTTTCGCTTGGGTCATGATCACGCGGGTTGTGGGTTCGAGCCCCGTGTCGGGCTCTGTGCTGACTGCCAGCTCAGAGCCTGGAGCCTGTTTCAGAGTCTGTGACTCCCTCTCTCTCTGACCCTCCCCTGCTCACGCTGGCTCTCTCTCTGTCTCCAAGAAATAAATAAAACATTAAAAAAAAAAAAGAAATGAAAATATGGTAACCATCAGTGAGCTCAGAGGAAGGGGACAATAAAGAATCCAGGAAATACCTCTCCAAGTGGAATACTACTAAGAAAAGAGTGATGGAAAATACGTAAGAGTGAGGCCAGGAGACGGTGAGTATAGGAGTCATAGAGTCATAGAGTCCTGGGAAAAAAGAAGATAGAAAGTGGAGAGAGGGAATTACTGAAGATATAACTGAAACAGGTCTGAAGGACATGAACCGCTCTACTGAAAAGCCAAAGCAGAACCAGGAACGACGATGATAGTATCAATAGTCATAAAACCCAATATTCATTGGTTGTGCGCTATGTACCCAGCGCTGTTCTGGGGGCTCTGCTGTAGTATCTCATTAATCAGCACAACCGCCTTGCAAGAAGGATGCTTATGCCTGTTTGACAGAGACACACTGTTACGTTACACACCCAAGATCACATGGGTCATAAATAGCATCATGGGGTTTTCGGCCCCACTGTCCTAACTGACATCTGCCTGTGTCACCATAACATGTCTGGAGCCCGTGCCTGAAAAGAGCCTCACGTTTGCAGAAAGAGACAAAGAAGCAGGCCGGAGCCGAAGGCGTGTGAATTGGGCGGTGTCAGATTTATCTAACACAGTCCTAGAAATGGGGAGATGTTGGAGAGGTACCTTCAAAATTCTGAAGGAAAGTGATTTTCAAGGCAGAAATCTACACCTGCCAAATTCCCAATCAAGTGTGAGAGTAGAAGAGAGACATTTCAAGCATGTGAGGCCTCAAACAATTTACCTCCCAAGCAACCTTATTAGGAAACTGCCAGAAATATGCTCCAACAGAACAAGAACCAAGAAAAACCTGGAACCCCAAAACAGGGAACACAGCCCAGGAGGAGGCCTGGGGGTGCCCAGGGAGGGGGAGGGGGAGACTGAGGCCACTGAAAAAGGCTGTGGCCGTGTGGGGAGAGGTTGGGTGCTATGAAAGCTAAAATTTCCTCAACCTCTATGAATGCAGGAAATAATGAAGCTAGCAGAGAGCTGAAGAAGCACACTTTTCAGTAATATGGAGGAACCTACCAGAAGAAATAGAGTTAAAAGAGGTGGTTATGGAATGGGAATGGTGGTTGGAGGGGCCATGACTGGGGCTGCTGTTGTTATAAGCCTTTGATTTTTGTTTTTGAGTTTTTCTTTTCTTTTGATTTTTAAATTTTTAATTAATTTTTAATTTTTTTTTTTCTTTTTCTTTTTTTATGTTTTTAAAAATTTATTTCTGAGAGAGAGAGAGAGATAGCATGAACAGGGGAGGGTCAGAGAGAGAGGGAGACACGGAATCTGAAACAGGCTCCAGGCTCTTAGCTAGCTGTCAGCATAGGGCCCGACACGGGGCTTGAACACACGAACCGTGAGATCATGACCTGAGCCAAAGTCGGACGCTTAACCGACTGAGCCACCCAGGCACCCCAATTTTTTATTTTTTAAAAGAGGTTTCATTTTATTTTATTTTATTTATTTATTTTTTTTTGCCAATTTTAAATACAGTTTATTTAAGACATTGCATTTTCTACTTCACAATACAGTGCTTATAAAGTGCAATGTTGTATTTCTTTCCCTGTGCACATATTCCATATTCAAGTATCAAGAATGCCCAGTTTATTAACTATAGCAGCTCCTTTAAAACTGCCATGGAATTTGCTACAAATTTGGGTCCTTCAAATGTTTTGTGTGGATCAATGCTAGACCTATTCTCAGGTTGGCTTAATCAACCTCCTCTATGGTGGGCCCGGAGGATGCACCACCAGAGGGAGGAGCACCGCCACCAGGGAAGCCTCCGGGCATTCCTCCAGGCATGCCTCCTGCACTCTGGTACAGCTTTGTGATGATGGGGTTGCACACCTTCTCCTACTCCTTCTGCTGATGTTCAAATTCTTCTTTTTCTGCAGTCTGGTTCTTATCCAGCCAGTTGATGATTTCATTACACTTGTCCAGAATCTTCTGTTTGTCCTCATCATTTATTTTGCCCTGAAGTTTCTCATCTTCAACAGTTGCTTTCATACTGAATGCATAGGATTCCAGGGAATTCTTGGAGGACACCTTGTCCCGCTGCTTCTCATCTTCAGCTTTGTACTTCTCAGCTTCCTGGACCATGCGCTCAATGTCTTCCTTGCTCAAACGACCTTTGTCGTTTGTGACGGTGATCTTGTTTTCTTTCCCTGTACTCTTATCCACAGCAGAGACATTAAGGATGCCATTAGCATCAATATCAAAAGTGACTTCAATCTGAGGAACGCCACGGGGGGCAGGAGGTATGCCTGTGAGTTCAAACTTGCCCAGTAGATTGTTATCCTTGGTCATGGCACGCTCACCTTCATAAACCTGAATGAGTATACCAGGCTGGTTGTCAGAGTAAGTAGTGAAGGTCTGGGTCTGTTTGGTAGGAATGGTAGTATTGCGCTTGATGAGAACGGTCATGACCCCATCAGCAGTCTCAATGCCAAGAGAAGGGGAGTGACATCAAACAGCAGCAAATCTTGAACATTTTCAGATTTGTCTCCAGAAAGGATGGCTGCCTGGACAGCTGCAAGGAGGTTTCATTTTAAAGAGAAGAGAGTATGTGTGCAAGTGGGGAAGGGCAAAGAGAGAGGGAGAGAGAGGGTCTTAAGCAAGCTCCATGCTCAGTGTGGAGCCCGACATGGGGCTCGATCCCACCACCCTGGGATCATGTCCTGAGCTCAAGTCAAGAGTCAGAGGCTCAACCAACTGAATCACCCAGGTGCCCTACTTTAGATTTTTTTTAGGACCGTTTTAGCAAATTTGAGCAGAAGGTTCAGAGACTTCCTATATACCCTCCGCCCTCACATATGTGCAGATTCCTCCACGGATCTACATCCCCCCCACGTGGTGCCTTCGTTACAACTGGTGACCCTCCCTGGGCCCATCATAGTCACCCACTGCCTGTGGTTGACACTAGGGTTCACTGTTGACGTTGTGCGTTCTTAGGGTTTGGACGAGTGTGTGGTGACATGTATCCACCATCACGGTGTCAGAGAGAGTAGCTTCACTGCCCTGCAGATCCGCTGTGCTCTGCTTGCTCACCTCCCACCCCTCCCCCCGGGCACTTATCTTTTCATTGCCGCTGTAGTTTTTAAGTCTTTGATTTTCTAACTATAGGCATGCATTAAGTTGATTAAGAAAAATTCAGTGGCTTTCACCTAAAAAAACAGACATCTGGCTTCCTTTCAAATGGCAGCTCAGGGCTGCCAGTGTGTGGGGGAGCATTGGCTGCAGCTGCACAGCTGGGCGTCCTTTTGGCTAGGAGTTGCCCTTCCGAGTTTGCTGTTATCAGGTCAGCTTTCCTCATTTATTTTTCTACTGTGCCATGTAGGCTTTGCTTATGTGCCTTGTAGTCTAGTGAATCTCCTCTGTACCCTGCTTAGCTGTCAGCCTGCCCAGGACTTGGTGTCTGGAAGACTCATTAGGGACAGGTTCTTAGGTGCTACTGCCAAGGCCGTGGTAATAGATCCCCCCCGCGCTGGGGTCCCATTCCGTATCCCAGAACAGCTTCCTGCCAAGTCCCGCTGTTTCCAGAAAGCCTGGCTAGTGAATTACATAAGTGGGATTAACGCTGATTTAGAGAAATCCCACTTTGAGAGACTCCTCTTGCAGGGAAATGCATTCAGGCCCAATACCCTTAATGGGGGTTGTCTCCACTGAGCAGATGGCTTTCTGCTTCCAGGAGCGTCTCCTATAGCAAATCCACCAGGATGACAAGGATGAAATCATCTAGTTGGAATGTTGTCAGTAGGACTTATGAGAAGTGTATTTCATGCCCCCAGGAGTCGACACTCTGATTTTAGTCAAGGGCTACACAGATCTTTGATCTTACGGTGCGTTGTTTAAAGGATGATTGTCATTCTCACAAGAGGAACAAGAACTCACGGAGCCCTAGATCAAGGTGGTCCTGACATTCAAAGAGAGCTGTAGGGATTTGTTTTTGTTAAGCCAGAGGGGAGGACAGAGTGTTTGCACAAAAAAGCAGCTGAAGCAGAAGCCAGCTCAGTGTGTGAGTCTCCATCTTGAGAGGTAGCACATTAGGGGCTGGTTGGTTAATTTTTCCTTTTAGATCCTTTGTCAATAACCCTGATAAAGTTTCAGACTAGAGGCAACATTGATGGGCTTCTTAGAACTGCATGCTCTTCTTTCAGTGACTATTTTGCAACCAACCATTCCACATGGACATTAATTTCATTTAAAAAAGTGTCAAGAACAGGAGCCACTATGGGGAACACATCTAAAGGTTGGTGATGGGAACCCACAGCCTTGGGTGTCCCAACAGTGAGTCATCGACAGAGCAAAGATTTGAGTGCAAGTCTCTCTGGGTCCCCAACAGAAATGTATTGCATGAATATGCTCAGGAAATCCTAACACATGACAAAGTACAACCAAATGGTTTGTCAAACTCCATGTACTTCAAATAAACTTCTCTGCAATTATAGATTGTACCACTGATTGAATATTTGATATAGTGGCTGATCACATAGTTGGAAATGCCAACCCGAAATTTCCCCACTTTTGAGCCATGACCCCCCCTCCAGTGTGGTGGATGTGACTGGTCCCCAAATTCAGCTTCACCTTTGATGTGCTGTGGACCTGCTAATGGTTACTCTTCTTCACATGTTCTCAAGCCAGACTGGGAAGCAAACACTATGGTTTAGCCACATACTGAGTGATTTGCTAAAATTAGTTCACCTCTGTTCTGAAGTGCTGGTAAGGAATTTGTATAGGGATGAAATAAATAGATGTGTGTGGTATTAGCCTAATACGTCAAGTCCTGTGTAATGAAGTATGGAGCAGGGAAGATAATAGCAATGTTCAAACCCTGCAAAGAGCTGATGCTCTTGAGTTCTCTTTGTGTTGGGTTTGTTTTCTTTATAAATCGATCATAAGTATGACATGTTTCTTTTTAAAAAATATTTTTTTAAAATAGTTTATTGTCAAGTTGGTTTCCATATAACACCCAGGGCTCATCCCCACAAGTGCCCTCCTCCATGCCCATCACCCCCTTTCCCCTCCCCCCACCCCATCAGTCCTCAGTTTTCAACATTCAAGAGTTTCTCATGGTTTGCCTCCCTCCCTCTTCCCCCCCATTTCCCCCCTTCTTCTCCCCCACAGTCCTCCATTAAGTTCCTTCTAATCCTCCTATATGTGCAAACATGTGGTATCTCTTTTTCTCTGCCTAACTTATTTCGCTCAGCATAACACCCTCAAGTTCCATCCACGTTGCTACACATGGCCAGATTTCATTTTTTCTCATTGCCATGCAGTATTCCATCGTATAGATAAACCACATCTTCTTGATCCATTCGTCTGTTGATGGACACTTAGGCTCTTTCCATGATTTGGCTATTGTTGAGAGTGCTGCTATGAACATTGGGGTACATGTGCCCCTATGCATCAGCACTCCTGTATCCCTTGGGTAAATTCCTAGCAGTGCTACTGCTGGGTCATAGAGGAGTTCTACTGTTAATTTTTTGGGGAATCTCCACACTGTTTTCCAGAGAGGCTGCACTAGTTTATGTTCCCACTAACAGTGTAGGAGGGTGCCCGTTTCTCCACATCCTCGCCAGCATCTAGAGTTCTCTGATTTGCTCATTTTAGCCACTCTGACCGGTGTGAGGTGGTATCTCAGTGTGGTTTTGATTTGTATTTGCCTGATGAGGAGGGATGCTGAGCATCATTTCATGTGTCTGTTGGCCATCGGGATGTCCTCTTTGGAGAAGTGTCTGTTCATTTCTTCTGCCCATTTCTTCACTGGAACTCACCAAACTCCACACCCAAAAAATAAAAAAAATATTTTTTAATAGAGAGCAAGTGAGGGAGAAAGGCAGAGAGAGAGAGAGAAAAATCTCTTAAGCAGACTCCACAGTTGGCATGGAGCCTGATGTGGGACTCAATCCCATGACCTTGGAATCATGACCTGAGCTGATGTCAAGAGTCAGATGTTCAACTGACTGAGCCCCCCAGCGCCCCACAAAACGTTTCTAAGACACTGATTGTGTTGGAGGTTGCAGGGTGGACGAAGAGCGCCCCTAACTGGAACATGCCTCCCTCCATTACTCAGTATTTTCCAGAGTGTTTTCTGTGGGCCCTCCACATCAGCATTACATGCAGAACTTATTTAATAAGTAGATTCTGGTGGCTCCCTCCTGTCCCCAGACCTAATGAAAGAGGCTTTCTTGGGGGAGAACCGGGGAGATTGCATCTTATAGCAAACCTTCCAGATGATTCTCCAATATGTTCAAGTTTAGGAATCTGTGGAGATCCCCAAAGGTCCCACATGGTGTGTGGTGCTGTAGATTGTGGGAATGACAAAAGAGATAATAGCAAGTTTGGATTCTTTAGCATCTGGTCTGTTGGACAGAGTCACAGGGTCAGCGTGTCACCAAAGGCTAAATGATTCGAACCCTCAGCACATTTAAATGGTGAAAAACATGCATTTGTTTCTAGTGAATGCCTCATGTTTCAGCTTCACCTCGATTGACATCGAATGAGTTGTTTAATCTACTTCAAACCCAATTTTGTTTTTCTCATTAAAGAAAGCAGTGGCGGAAAGAGGTGAATTTTAATCCTCACCTGCATTTAGTATGAAGGCCAAGGACAAGGGGGTCACTATAAAAGATGAACATTTTGCTACGTTGTAGGTAATTTGAACGCAAATGCATGGCAACCTTTTGAAGAGATAAACTCAGGCATAAACTGGGAAAATGGATAATATCTGAAGATAACCACAACAATGAAATAAAAGTGTCGGAATGATGGGAACTCAAAATTCTACAGCATTACCCGCCCCCCCCCCCCCCCCCCCGCATTCGCTACCAATCCTTCATTCTTCTCTGAACCACTGGCATTTTGGAAGATAAACATTTTGGAAGGGGGAAGAGTAGTACAAGATACAAGGAAGGAAGTGTGGGAGAGGTTAAGGGAGAGAAAGAGGCAAGGATCTCTGGGGCACACAGCTCATCCCTCCAGAAAAGTGAACGGGAGTTGTGTGGTGGGAACAAACCAAAGTTCCCGCCATTGTCAGGTCATCGTCCTTCTGGCCCTGACTACTGATGACATGATATGGTCCAAAACATCTTCACTTTGCTTTATGGCCTGCTTGGGCCACGTTAGGCTGCTCTGCTTCAAGACAAAATTGGATGAATGGAAACCCTTTGCTTAGGATGAACGAAAACCCACTTGCTTAGAATCCGAGTTCTTAGACCAGCTTCGGCTGAATCCAGAGAGGCTTTGTTCATGAGTAGACTTCTGTGCTTTTGCTGGATAGGTTCTTACTTTTCCATTTTTTAATGTGTTCTTTCCCCCCAAAGAATATAAAATGCTTAAACATTGACCATGCACGTGGTAAATGTGAGTGTCATATAAGGGATGTTCCCACAATGGATGGAGGCACTTAGAGAATGGTGGGAGCAGTGGTAATAATGATTGGCTAAGGCC